TCTTTTTGAATGTCTCTAGTGAATGTCTTTGTGACAACCATTTTGTGGGTGTGTCCATGGCAATTTCTCAAATTCCCAAATGTGCCCAAGAACTGAGCGTGTGCAGCACAAAATAAGTAAGTAAATAAATAAAAAGGGACACTCAATATATCATGTAATCAAGATGGTTTTCACCAATGTACATGATTTTGTATACTTGATTCTGTAATATACACAGTTGTGTAAGCATATTTTGCTTGGAAAACACTGCAAAACTTGGGGAAGTGTGAATTTTGAGGGATAGCAGTTCATACGAGGCAATCTCGCTCTCTTTGTCTCTCTCTCTCAGGTACAAAAACCCTTACATGTGCTCTATGTCAAAGAAAAGAATGGGTGAGGGAGATAAAGTTTAGTTAAGTTAGGAAAGAGGCAACAAAGCTTGTCCAAAGATTGTGCTTCCTGCATGAATAACATTGTATTTGCATGTAGGTCCAGAGGAGGATATCTTTAGCACCCGCCCCCCCTCCATCTCCCAGCAGCAACCTGGCTTTGCCTAATGGAAGGGATGATCCTACTGGCTGCTGTTAAAGTGGACCTGTAAGGTAGACCACGATTATTATGCCCATTGTATAGATGAGATTCAGTAGAGAATGCTTAACCCAAGGTCATCCACTGAGCATGCAAATGAGATGAAACAGAGACCCGAAGCTTCCTGGCTTGGAAGTAAGCTTCATAATCACTCTATGACACCGCTACTTCAAAGGGCTATTTCCCCATGGTTTTTATCCAAGACGTTTTTCATGTGATAATTGCTACCTATAGACGTAGATGAATGGGTTAGTCATTTCTATTCAGTTTTAGGCACGGATGCGTTAAAGCCACCTGTAGATATTAGGGCATGATGACCTTTTCCTGTCATAATGTAGGAAAATTATGATCAGCCGTTCTTTTGCAAGTGGTAAGTTGTCCCATGACAACAACACAGACCAGTTTTACAGATAGCATCAATGGCCTCTGATGCATGGCCAAAGGCTATTACTATTAGTATGAATGGAAAACTGCTGCTAGCATGTTTGTGGGTTGGTCATGTATATCCTTGCAGAATGTTATTTGCGGTTTCTATCAGTAATCTTCAGATGTGCAAGGCAATATTCGCAATGGCATGTGGTGCTTTTCCATTAGCAGACACTTCTTGTGACTGCTGAAGCCAGAGTGCCATGCAGCGCAATGGAAGGACCATCCCTGATTCACCACCTCTCTCTCTCTTATCATCATCATCATCATCATCATCATCATCACCTCTTTGCTGCTCTACAGCTGAAGCTCTCTGGGCAGTTAAAAGAGGGTTTTACTTGGTAGATCAGAATTGTGCAAATGCACAGCACAGGACTTTTACTTTTAGCTCTGAATGAATTAAACTGATCTCTGTCTTATGGGTAAAGACAGCTGAGTCATTGATGGAGTAATGATGTGGGTGTGTGAGAACTGGTTGTCCTCTGGGCCCTCCAGGCAGGGAAGGGTTCACATTTTGACTACTTCACTGTGTTTCTGATACTGTAGTGACATGTTATAAACAATAAAATATAAATTGAATCCTCTATGACTTGTCCTTATTCATTTGTTCCTTAGAAAAACAGAAAATTCTCATGAATTAGCCAGTTGCTCTCTAGTCTGACATAAACTTTAATAGTGCAGAAGCTGATATGCTCCTGTAGTTTCATATGCCTGTCCTTGACTGACAAAAACTGCCAAAAACTACCTTATCTTAGAGGCTTAATTTTCTGACCCAATAGATGACTGAAGATTGCTTGTTTTGGGCAAACTGCCCACTGCATGCCTTAGTTATGACTTTAAGTGGAGAAGAACTTTTCTGTTGAGATGAGGTCTAGACTGTTTTCTTCCTGCAGAATTAGGAGGAATCCAACCAAGCACTGGCATCTATTCACCATGTGGGGAATGGGTGAACTGAACCAGCAGTATATGTGAGCATCAACTAAACCTCAGGTAATGCAGACATGCCTAAACCTCCTTGGTTGAGGTTGCCAAAAAGGGTGCCAGTTTATGAGCACTTGGCAGACTTTTCTGTGCTTGTTTTTGATATGGATAGTAGAATGTGGATTGAGCCCAAGGGTTCACTTTGCCTTCTTGGTAGAAGAGTCATATATTTGCCTCAGGTTGAGTGAAAATGGCTATGGCCCTCAAAGAGAGACAAAGACTCTTTTCATTTCTCATGAGTAACCGTGGGAGTGGTTATACTGGAACACCATGGGTTGATTCATTTATTTGTGGCTGTTGCCCAGGTTCCTTCTTTGCTTTTAGGATTTTCCATGTGTATATTGAAAATAGTATTGATAGTACTTCAGCAGTGTGTTTAAATCCACTCTCTACCATCGAGGCACTACTAGGCTGTGTAAATCCCCCAGTGATGCTGGAATGGACCATGTGTGGCTTTCCTGGGTCTGAGCATTGAGATCCTCTGCTCTTTCAGCCAGAGATGTGCTGTCTTCATTCGACAACCCCACAGCATTCTGACATTACCTGCTTGTTGTGAGAGACACTGGATAAGAGAATGTTAGAGAAAAGCTCCAAAGTATTTTTACAGGGTGGTGATGGAAGATGACCTTTTTCAGAAAAACAAATGCACTGTTCAGGTAGTCAGATCAAAGATAAAGTAGGATTCCAGCAATATTTGGAAATTGCAGAGAAGGGAGAACTGTTTAAAGTTTAAGAGATGGGCCCTGGTGCTACCAACTATCCTAGCAGCACCTATCCCAATAGATGAATTACTGTCATTGTTCTTTAAAATAGAAAGATATAGTCATATAACAAAGTTCAGAAGTTTAACCACAACCTATTTTTCCATTAATGCTTTCTCCAGTCCCTGCATCTTTATTTTGGTTAAGTATTCTGTAAAGCCAGAGTGGGGGGAGGGAGTGGGATGTCTCAGGTTGTTTTCCTACTCCAAATTTTCCCTGTTGCTTGCAGGTCAAGGTAGATCATATTCAGGGTCAGACAAGTTATTTTGGTGCTGATGCAGACAATCCTGAGGGTAGGGATTTGTGCAACCCATCCTGGCAGTAACAAAATATAATAGCGATACAGTAAGAATACATTTATCCACCATTTGCTGTCTTTTTATGACACCCCATATCAGATGAGGCTACTGCCTCACTGTCTTATAATAGAGTTAGCCTTGTTTGATATCATGAACTATCTAACTGCCAGGTATGCAAGGCTGTCCACCATGACTGAAGGGAACAAAATTATATGTGGGAGACTTTTTCTCCCTGTCTCATGACAGTAAAATGCTCTTTGTGTGGAGTACACAGAGCTTCTTGTTGGACAGGAAAGAAAAAGGGAACTTTCTTCATACAGAATATAGTTATACTACCTCAAGGTATAGTGAGGTCTGCCAATTTGGATGCAAGGATTAGCCTAATTCATGAAGGATAATCAAAGTTGCATCAGGGGCAATATGCCTCTTAGTTTGCCTCTTGTGGATCAGGGAAATGAGAAGGTGTTTATATCTTGCTACAGGCTTTTTATAGGCATCTTGTTTCCCAGTGTGGGAACACAATTTTAGAGTAGCTACACCTTTGGTCTGATCCAATGTGGCTATTGTTATGGTCATAAATGTTTTTGATTCCATTGGCACAGTTCTTACTGGGCTCTTTTGGGGTTTCCCATGTATTTTTTTATCCTTATGCTTTTTTGTAGTTTTGTAAAATTGGAGTTCCCCAAATGCCTTGTTTGTGGTGCCATTTTGACTACAGGAGCAGTGGCATGCATGGTCTCAACACCGGAAATAAAGGGGATGAGGTACATGGCAGAATTTGCAAAGCAGAAAGCATTTAAGGAATTGAAATGCAAGAGTATGACTGACAGCCACAAAAATTCCCCAATTGCACAACGTGAGACATTTTTCTTTGCATCAGGGTTTACTTCAGATAGAAGCAGAATTATCCATTGCTTCTTGTTAAGATGCACTTCATTCGAAGGCTTTCCTGACTCAAGTTGGCAGGAATGTCTTAAAATGTACAGTTTCTTTTTCCAGTAGTGAATTCTCTAAGAATCTGGGAAAACCTCTTGCAGGGGTAGAGGCAACACAACTTGCTAATGCCTATTCTCTCATTTTGTTCATCAAGGATGAAATTGTGATAGTGAAAATGAAGTCATTTACACATAACAGTTGCCAAAGAAGGGCACCTGAAAGGGTAGAGTGTCTCACTATATCGACTGCTGCCACAGTGTGAGTCCATGCCTCAAACAGGCACTACCAGGAATATCAAATTATGGTCTGAAGACTTTCGATGGGATATTATGGGATGGGATATTATGTGGTGTGATATGATGTAGTCTCTCTCTCTGTGTATAAAGCAGGAACAGGCAAACTGTGGGTGCATTTGGCAATTTGAGAACCTGCTCTGGGTGCTGCCACACAATGGCTGCCATGGAAGGCATGGCAAAGGAAAAGTAACCTGCCCAAAAGACAAGGGACAGATCTGAGCTACAATACACTAAACAACCCCTTTGGGCCAACAGTTTTCATCGCCAATAGAATTCTGTTTCACAGCAATCCCAGCTGCTGATAAGAAAATGTGTTTATTATAATTTTAAAGTGGGAATGGTAGGGCACCTTGGAAGATGCCAAGAGAGGAACTATCTGGGAGTACACTGGTTGCATGGGCACCATGCTTCTTACTCCTCATATAAACCATATCTTGAACCACTGAGTCCATTAGACTTGCCACATAAATATTTATCACTTATTTAAGGCAACCTCACTGGCATGATAGTTAATGGCCATACTGGTCCTAAAGAAAACTAAAATGAATCTATTGCAGTTCGCTTATTCCTAAATTGGCCTCAATTCTGCTTTAGCATGCTTACTTTATTAATGTAGCAAACATCAAAGCAACAGAAACAATTTTGGATCAATACTTTGCTTATACAACAAAATCAACCAGAGCAGCACAGAAATATAAGAAACCCTTCCAAGAGGAATCAGATCAAACAATTAAGAGGCAGAAGCACGTAAACTAAGATTGGAATGATACAGAGAAGATTAGCATGAACCCTGCTCAAGGATGACACTCAGATGCACAAAGGTGTAGGGTAGTATAGAAATGAAATAATAATAATAATAATAATAATAATAATAATAATAATAATAATAATAAGTGAACTGCCTGGTGTTGAAATGATGTTGAAATAGGGGCTAGTGTAGCCTCCATCAGTAATCACTCTCAGTGTCTTGCATACCCTCTGATGAATTCAACACATCTGGGAGGCTTCGGATTGGGGAAAGCTGATGTAACCCATCACATGAGTTACTGATGGAAGCAACAGACAGGTATGGATCAACTCACCTCTTCTATTTTTCCCTTACTTTGGATAATTCATCAAGCAAAAACAAAGATTGACTAGCTGCACAATGCCTTCTGGTTTTTAGTGTTATGAGCCCTCTGTTTGGAAGCATCCTCTAGTGAATCACCTGAATGAGAGAGATTAAGAGAGCAACACTGTATGAGCATCTCAGGGACCATAGGAAGGTTCAGAAAGCTCCTCCAAGCTCTGAGGCAGAACTCTGACCTGACCTCAAAAGGGGGAGTCAGAAGTCTGACCGCAGACTCCACTGCCTCACAGCTGGCCTGCAGACAACTGTGCTGGCTGCCTCTCTAAGCAACCTTGGAGGAGGAGCAAAAGGCAGGGAAGAGAGGGCACTGGAAAAGCCACGAGCATCCTTTTTCCTAACCCTGAGCCTTGTCCAGCTTCCTTCCTTCCTCTGTCCTCCAAAGCTTGCTCACTAGATGTGAAGCAAAGATCCCATCTAGTAAAAATTGGGAAAAAAGATGGAGAGGTAAAGATACCCATGATTGCTCTTCCTGTCTCGCTGACATCAGCTAGGCAGGGCATTGGAAACACTTATGCTGCTAAGTTCAGGGGCTTTTGAGCAGCAAGGGCAGACTCTGCCTTGGATGAAAATGTTTTTTATGGAGCTTTTCTAGATGTTGCCACTACAAGCTGCTGCTTATGCATTTCTAATATTCCATTATTAGGGGGAATTACTGGATGTGAATTTTCCAACAGGATGGATCAAAAGGATCATACTTGCCGTAGGTATGCTGTCTTCAATATCCCATGCCAATTTTATGTATCATCAGTGAATAGTGGAATGGGAAACTGATTTATCAGATGATGGTTTTACCAGGGTTTTTTTTAGCTAGAAGCACACCAATAATTCTTGCCACCCAATAGTAGCATGTGACTGGAAACTTTCCTTGTTTCCTTCTGGCTGGACAAATGAATTAACCTCAAGTTTCCTAGAGGTGCAAGATTTTTGAATAAAAGACATTTTCAGCCATCAAGAAATACAAGAAGGACCAGATTTCTTTTGACATGAATGCTTCTTGCAATAGTTGAAATAGAATTACACAAAAGAGTTACAATATCTATCCATCCATCCATCCATCCATCCATCTATCTATTTATTTAAAACATTTCTATGCTGCCCCCATCGCAACAAAGCCTCGGGGCGGCTCACAAAAAATACAAAAAAAATACATTAACAATAACAATATAACAATTTAAAAGAAAAAAAAAAACATTTTAAACCCCTGGTGCATTCTTGACTAATTTAATATCCTAATAAATACAATAATTTAGCAATTAAAATAAGTTTTAAATAAAAAGGTCTTAGCCTGGCACTGAAAAACAAATAACGACGGCACCAGGCAGACCTCTCTGGGGAGTGCATTCCATAGATGGGGCGCCACCGCAGAGAAAGCCCTCCTCCGGGTACTCACCCTCCTAATATCATTCACAGAGGGTTCCTGGAGAAGGGCATCCATTGCTGAGTGACAAGAAAACACAATATTCTAAGAATCAACAAAAACCATAATGATACAGTGCCTGAAAAGAAAGTTGAGTACTCATGGCCAGAGGACAACATATTCTTGCCCAGATACGTTAGCCATAGCTTTAAGGTTTTGGAATTCTATTAAATAGTAGCAAATTGCCACTTACTTAGCTTAACATTATGGCTTTACCAAACCACTGTTGGATGAGAGCAAGTCTTTTTAGTGCATTCTTTTGTTTCCTAGCACAGAGGCAGAAGCACTATTGGCATTTTCTGTCTCAGACACCAACATATCTTTGAACACCTCTGATCTGGCCAAACTAGAAGTTCTGTTCTCTAGCAAATATACAGATTCCTTGCATTTCTCTATTTTATTGTAAAAGAGTATTTTAAAGTTAAACCTGAACTCAATAAATAGTTTATGAGGGCCAGACTTCTCATTACTTTGCATTAAATGTGCAGGTATTTTTCTTCAACCACGTATATCACCCTCTTGGAAGGGGTGCTTGATATTTATGGGGATAGCGGAAGGTATGGAGGCAAAAGTTAAGTCTATTTCTTCCCTGCTAAGCTTCTGAAGAAGATCCTACCCCTGAAGCTAAAATTGGGCTTTGAAGAAAAAACACTAACTGGCAGAGAATGAAAGGTTACGTTCTCTTCCAGATCTGTTGTGATTCTGGTAATTGTCAGCCCAGATGGTTCTCTGTGCAGCTTTTACACAATCTGCATGTTCAGTGCAAAGATGGATTTAACCTTAGGTTTATTTTGGTCTTTAGATAGCCTTCGGAGTACATAAGTTAGTGTGGTTGTCAGGGCCTGGTACAAAACATCTCAACAAACATTAGCTCAGCATGTAGCTATTTGCCCAGTCATATTTGTTTCTTGGAGGAAATGGCCACAGCCAAATTAAGTCAAAATGAGGACAGTTTCTCTGCTGCTTTACACAAACCTTTGTTGTTATATGTTGATGCAAATTATAACATTGGACCTAATTAGGAGGGGGTCTTTCTTCCATCTCATAATTCAATAGTATTTCAATACAAGACATGCTTTTTGTAAATCCATCTCCAAAGTGGACATTTCATAACTATATTTGCCTCTAATGAATGGCAGCATTGCCCTTCCAAAGAATTAACTGTACAATAGTCTATAAGATGGCCAAAATTTCCTTTAGCTGCTTGTGTTCTACTTTATATTTGTTTGCATGCTAGTGCCCAATTACACCAATTGTGTTATTTGTCTGCTATTTGCCATGTCTGAGTCCAATTGCTCATGATGCACAGTACGAGTGATGCAACTGGACTTGGACCTTGGACTTAATGATCTTATCCTTCCATCGCTTTTGACTGCCATGAGTATTACTTTAGTTGTGAAGCACACAGCCAATATTTCTCTTACACCACACCACCATTCTGTGATTTACAATCCACTCCCCATAGGTTAGAGCAAACAGCAGGGACTGTTTACCAACTCTGTTAAAGAAATATTCTGAACATATTTGGTCTCACATTTTAATCTTCTTTAAATTACTATAGGAAAAACATGAAGTTTGTTAAGGTAGCTGCTTCTGCTGCCGTAAAACTAAACATATTTTCTTTAGAATTCACATAGAAAAGGATAATTTATTTTAGAAGTAAAAATAAGAAAATCTGTAGCCTTGTGCATGACCATCCATGCATCCCATCTGCAAAATGCAGCCCAGATAATGGCACACCAGGCCAGTTTACCACTGCCCTCATCATCAGAAAGTTTCTGAGTGGTTATTAAAAGTCCCGGTGGGCTGAGGGACCTGGACTTAAGGTCCAGCAACACCACTGATGTGTCAATAAATTACGGAAGTGCCCAACAACAAGCAACTAAGGGAGGGTAAATTTTGAGCCATGGGCCAGTGGAAGGGAGGAGGAGATACTTCATCCTTTCTTGTCCCTTCCTACAGTTTGCTCAAAATCTGCTTTTTCACCAGCGTGGGATGCTGCAACCTTTCTTTTGCAGGGAGGCACAAAGTGTATGTGGGTGTGAGGAAGGGTTTGGAATGGACAAGGGGCAGGAAGGAAGATGACTAAGTTCTTTGCCCCTTTCTCCTTACTCCTTGTTCATGCCTTGTTCAAGCCTGATTTCAGCCTCTAGCGGCTCTTTTGGGGTTGAAATGTGCTGCGAACAGTATGGAAATGGTTTTCTTGTATGGTTTGGCATGCAAATCTGAGGTTTCAGAGTCAGACCTAAACATTGTGCTGCCCAAGGCAAATGGCAAGATGGTGTTCCTTGACACCTCACATTCCGCAGAAAGAATTTGACTAGAAAGGCAGTGGAATCTTATTTCTGCACAGGTGATAGAAAAACCTCCCTCACTGCACCTGAGGGAAGCTGGCTATCTTGGGGTCACGAGACAGCTGACTGTCACACAGCTCCATCCTTCAGACGCTGTGCAATGGTATCTTCCCACCAGCATCTGCTGCCTGAGGCAACTTGCTCAATCTGCTAAACAGTAGGGCTGGCCACTCTGACTGGGAAAAATCATGTCATGGGCACTGGCTAGTGCTGAAGGATTTTTACTCTGTGATTGCTGTCCCTTATGGCAAGTTTGTATGGTGGGCTAAGCCTCTTAGACTGAAAGGGATGTTTCTATATGTGCCAGTCCCGTCCCATCAAAAGATGAAGCGCAGCAGAAAGAAGGATGCAATTCCTCCTTTGCGAATTCAGAAATGATGCTGTTTTGGCATGACGGTATTTCTTATTGCCCATCTTGCTGGTCCTTTTTGGACTGGTAATAACTGGCATGAGAATTCATATCCTAAGGTGACCAATGCGCAGGTCTTATCATGTGTGCAGAGAACTGCCTTCAGTGTTTTTTGTCCTTGGTCTCTTGACTTTTAAAACCACTTTTATTCTCACAGGGTCTTTGTGGTATTCCAAGCATGTATTTACAGGGTGGGCAGATTAGACTTGCAGCACAAGTTGAACTGGTGCCACAACAGTACCCTGAATTTCCTGCTTACTCTAGTTCTCTGGTTTGCAGCTCAGCTGGCTTTGCTCAGCTGGAGTTCAGTACTGTTCGGCTGGAGCTTGTCTAAAGTGTTGCAACCCACTACTATAAATAACACATGTGAAATTCCTGTCAGAAAATGGGAACAGAAATCTCAGAAATTTGAAAATATTTATAATAACAGCCTGCTTGGCAGCAGTTAGATACTTCTCTGTCATCTTGGGAAAAATGCCGGGACAATCCCAACAAAAACTTGTGAGCAAGTATCAAATCAGTCTAGC